AATAAATAAATAAATAAATAAATAAATAAATAAATAAATAAATAAAAATCTATCCAGTACATGGAGCCCATGGATGGAGTGAGTTTGATTGTGGTTGGATGAGAAATGTAAATAAATACCATTCTGACATCCTATTGGATTGAACTCACTCGATCACACCTGTGTGACACAAATCACATCACAGCCCAGCAGGACAGACTGTAGCAGATGCAGCCTACAATGAAGATGATCCTGGCTAAARYTGTGTTTTCTGAAATTTTCAGCAACAAACTGATTTAATTTCAGGAGAAATAAAGTTTTGAGATCAGTCCAACATGCTTTTTTCTTCAAAAGATCTAGAATAAAACATTATTTATTTATTTATTAGATTTTTTTCTATTTTGTATAATGTGAGGGTTTCTATTAAATAATTAAAATGTGTTGTTATTCATTAATTAGTTCAAATGATTTAAGTATTTTTAAAATTAAATGTCTTCATATTGGCTGCTAAATATAAAAAAATATCTATTTTCAAATAAAAAAGCTTTTATCCTGAATGACTTTTTAAAGTGTTCATTACTTGTACTTTAAGTAGTTTCAAAACCAGTACTTTTATACTTTTACTTGAGTAAAAAGCTTGACTTGATACTTCTACTTCCAAAAAAGTATTTTTAAACCCTAGTATCTATACTTCTACTTAAGTAATGAATGTGAATACTTTTGACACCTCTGATACTAACCTTCAGGCACCCAATGCCTGACCAGCTGAAACCAAAAGTTATATCTATAGTTGCTCCAGTTACAGGATAGTGATGGTTTTATGACGTCAGGAAAGAAAGGACTCTTTCTACTTGTAAAATGTAGTTGTTAAAGTAATATTTTTAGTTGTTACATTTAATGAGTCAGCGATCATACTGTTGGAGCAACAAAGCATGTACAGAAGTGAGTTTTATAGCTGTGCTGAAATACTAAAATGTCTGCTTCTTCTAATTTGCTATTCAAAGTTTGTAAGATAAACAAATTGAGCCAAAGGTTACAGAAACAGATCACGCTTGTTCTCACTATGTTTTGAGCTGAGTCAGAAAGCATCACATGATCAGAACTAACGTTAGTTTTTTTATAGGCTGTAAAGTTTTAGAGTTTTTTGAAGGATACTTTAAAAATGATTAACACATGCTCAGCTGTGCTGCTTTAGTTTTTGTTAATCTCATCTTTGATTTAGAATACTGTCTGTACTGGACAAACATTTGGAAGTGCATCATTTGAAACAATTTCAAACACAGCAGTCTGTGAGTCGTGTCACAGGAAGAGCATGCACTCCATGACCACACACAGTCAGCAGCTTGTGGGCATTTGGATGACTTTATCAAAGTTCTTTGTGAAAAATACAGAGCCCGCTCACGTTGACGTTGAGTCCTTCAACAAAAAAATACAACATTAAGCTCAACAAGGAAATAAACTCTGCAATATTTACTGTGTTCTGGATGAAGAAGCTCTGTTTGAGCTGCTTCTTTTCACCTGACATGCATCACAAAATGATCCTTTTATTCACAGAGTCTCACGTTACGCAGTTTACTTTACCTGGACGAGGCGCACCTGTCCAGGTTCTTCTCACGCAGCCAGATGTTGTCGCATCTGTTGGAGAAAGATGTGTAAACTTCTACAACTTTCAAACCCCCAAAAAGGTAAAGAATACTTGACGTGCAACAAAGAGCCACTGAAGTAGAGCTCTAATGTTGTGATGACGTCTCCTCAGGATCCYGTGGAGAAGACGCTGGTGTGGAAGAACTGCACCGACCAGGTGAGCAGCCGACCGCACCGAAGCTGCTATGATCTGTTCTCCCATTCAGAATGATCAGGAAAAGCTTTTTTTAAACTAATTAATTWATTTAGGACTACAACGTGACAGTGGTCCATCAGAGGGAAAAGGACGGGCTGGTGTTTGTGTGTGGGACGAACGGCAGGACCACACGGTGCTGTGACGTGGTACGGAAACTATTTGTTCTGCTTTTGGGAAACATTTCACCAAAACATGCAAAATACATCAACTTCCTGTTTGTAAATGTTTGCATTTTTTTTTTTCAAAACTACCTGGAAGACAAACGAAGTGTTGTGCTCCAAAGAAATAAGAATATATATTTTTTTATCATTATTTTTGTTTGTTTCACAGAAATTATCAGAGCAGTCTCATGAATGTGTTCCCTCAGAGACACTGAATAAAATTCAAAGCACAATCAGAGAATTTGTCATTAAGAGAGGTGAACACTCTGTCCTCACAGGTGAGTTTCTTTAGTTGACCCTTTCCTGCTTTTTGCTTCACTTGTTTCCCATGCCGGCTGATTTTAGTCCTTAAGGAATCATTTTGTCCTTCTTCACCCAGGAGCTGTTCTTGCTGAAAATCTGTGCTTTCTGCCTCCTGCTTCTCTCAGCTTGAGTTTTGTGGTACCTTCTTTAGCTCTGCTACCATTTTGATTTTACATTAAAAGCTTTCTGTTTTCATCCTAAAATGTGCCGCTGTTTGTCTCAGACTCTGGACAAAGTGAAGATCTCTACGTCACGTACTCCGGAGCTCATGAGCATGTTGGACTCCACAGGTTTGGGAGTGGAAGAGTGAGGCCAGCGAACCACAACAAAGGTATTTTATAGAGACTTAAAACCTTTCTTTGATGAATTATGATTTTTTTTTTAGAAATGTATTTTGTTGTTTTTTCTGCCTGTAGAGCAGCACTATGCGGGCTTGGTGCTCAGCAGGAGGAATAACAACTCGCAGAACAAGATATATGCTTTTTATAAGCAGAAAAACAAAGAAATGGGGATGGATGGAGACATGTGGCTCCCCTATGTGAGCCAGGTTTGCATGGTGAGGCTTGGAAAATTAGAAAATTGAGGAATAAAGACGATTAGCTTAAAAAAGACATTTTTTGTGCCTAAAATAGTCCTAACCTGCTTTTCTTTTCTTTTTGTTGTTGTTGCTTAACTCAGTCAGATATTGGCGGTCCCAAAAACAACCTGCAGTTCAGCTGGACGTCCCAGATGAACGCCAGACTTTACTGTGGAAACCCAAACACCAAGCAGGATTTCTCTGAGCTGGTGGACATGGCCGAAGTTTGTTCAGACCGATGGGAGGAAACAAAGGTTTATGCTCTCTTCAGGAATGAATGGTAAGAACTGTGTTTGAGTTGGTTGTTTAATGGTGATGCAGTCTCTTAATCCTGAGACTGCAGGTTTTGAGCCCGGGCTCTGTCAGGAAGTGCATCCTGGTGTTACACCATATTTTGTGACCGTCAYATATKGCGACCAGAGGGGGTGCTGTTGCGTTTCTACAACAGAACTTGGCCGAACATGGCCACAAAGAAGAAAATGATGTGCCAACAGTGTTAGCCAGAGGCTGAAGACATACGAAGAAAAAAAACTGTTGACTGCTATCATACATGGTCACAGAAAATGACAGCTGTCACATATTATGACTTCACTGTAGCT